CGCAACCTGGGAGCCCATCCCTAAATCCTGTAAACCCTAAACCCTAAATCCCAAACCCAGCCCTAAGCCCGGACCATCGGCTTCAACACCTTGAACCTCCCGAGGCAAAAAATGACCTACTACTTCGTGGCCTTGTCTTTTGCACTCTTTTCGGGCCTCTCTTCACGATGAGCTGTTGGAGAGGATGGAGGGTGGAGCCCTAGCATATCCCGGCGGTTTCTCAGAACGGGGGCCGTTGAGGTTGCGGTTCAGGGTCTATCCAGGGTTTACGATTTCGGGTCTAGGGTGGGCAAAAGGTTCCTGGTGTTGAGGGTACGAGCCCCTTGTTTTGACACACTTTCCAGCAAAAGAGCGCGGAGCCATCAAAGATCTCTCCGGGGTCTTTCCCAAGATCAAGGGTGGTTTCTTTGACACCACGGCGTCGTGTTTGTCAAAATGGTTCTTCGGCGAGCCACTTCGGCGGTCGGGAAGCTTCACCTGACGAAACAGCAGCAGTTGTAATTCGACTGCCGCAGAATAACGACGACAACGACAACTATAACTACAGCGACAACAGCAGCAACAACTCCTGCTCTGCTGCCGTGCCTGATGCTGCTACCTAGGTCCTCGGCTACTCTACTTCGCTACTGTGCTGGTGATAATGCAGATGCCGGCAATCAGACTTTCGATGCCAATGACGACTGCAACAAGGATGGTGATGAACACGTGATATGACACCGATGGTGGTGATGACGAGGGTGATGATGGTGATGATGGCATCGATGATGATGATGACGTGATATGATGTGATATGGCATGATATGATATGATGTCATGTGATGTGACATGATAACATGACGACTCTGGTTATGATTATGATGATGTTGGTGAGGATGTCAAGATGATGAGTTCTCACCAGATTTCTCAAGGTATTGCACTGGCAAGTAAAGCTTGTTTTGAAGCTCCCCACCTGCAGCGAAGATGGTTTCAGATATTTTTCAGATGCTCGCACATGAAAGGGCAAGTGCTTTTCGGGCATCCAGCTAAAGGCTGCCGTTTGGGTATGACCCATCGGATTCATTAAGTCTTAGTCTTGAATCCCAGGCATTGAGATCCCACTGAAGATCTCTGCAACTTTAGAGCTTCTTCATGCGGATTGTTGAGAGCCAGAATCCCTTTTCTCAGGTTCTTCACGAGAATGCACTATCGTTTGGAATGGAAATCCACAAAGTCAAAGACCTGCACCCTTCGACAAAAAGAATGCATACGAGCATATTATCTAGCTTTGCGTCGCTTACCCGGGGAGCAAGACCTCAGTGTGCTGCCGGGCAGAGCTCGCAAGCGCCAAGTCTAAACTCTTCACCCTGGACCCGAAACCCCAAGCGCATTTTCCCTGCCTCGGGCTGAACAATTTCACCGGATGAGAGAGCAGAGACAGGAACGATGCAATGTACATGTAGGTGTATGTATCTACAGCACATATGCATGCATATATGTGTGGTTTATGTATGTATATATATATATATATATATGTTTATGTGTATGTGTGTTTACACACGCATACATATGTATGTATGTATGTATGTATATATATATATGTGCACATGCATAGATATATCTGTATATATATACATACACATACATAGTGTTTAACGGTGTGCATGTATGCACATATATCGTATACAAATACACGGCATGCATTTGAGAGCGTATCATCCATTTGAACATACATATCGTCGCACCACGTACATACCTGTTTACACTATGTAGCGGTGTGTGTGTATATGTTTATATACGTGATTCGTATGTACATATACATATACACACATACTTACATACATACATACATACATACATAGTTACATACACGTAAGCACACACACACACACACACAGACACACCCACACACACGCATACTCACACACACACACACATATACACATATATATATATATATATATGTATATATGTATGTCCATGTATGGACATATATACATATATATATATATATATATATATATGTGTGTGTGTGTGTGTGTGTGTTTCTGGTGCCCCCCCCCCCCCTGTACCTACCCTTTTCCTGCCTTTCCTGCCTTCACCAGATTGGCAAGGGGGCTTGATTGCCCTAGGATGTAGGACAGAACGACGTAGGTTAGTTGAGCAGCCTCTGAAATCCGACTTGTCCCTTGTGCTCTCTCTCGGAAGTACGACTTGCCATACACGAAACCAAAACATTGGAAAAAACCAAGAAAAGTTGGAAAAAACAATAAACAAAGCATTGGAAAAAACAATAAAAGCCATAAAAGCCATGATTCTATCTGCAGACGTGACACCATCCGGACGAGATAGTTTGACAGTTTTTGTGGTTGTTATTGCGTTTTCCAATGTTTTCTGCTTCTGACTCACGGAGATATTAGAGAACATCAATAAAATTGAACAGCCTGAGCCCAAAACAATGTTAAAGTGGCACACGCGGAGTCGAAAACATTAGAAAAACACAAAAAAGTGGCACACAAGGCGCCCAAAACATTGGAAACAGCAACAAAAAAAATGATTTCAAAACTACCTGCAGGCGCGACACCATCCGGACGAGATACTTTGAAAATCATGTTTTTATGTTTTTTTTTTATTGATTTTTCCAATGTTTTCTGCTTCTCACCCACGGAGACATTGGAAATATCAACAAAATCTAACCAGACGGAGCCCAAAACAAGGGAAAAACAATCGAAGTGGCACACATGGACATGGAACCAAAAAAAACATTGTAAAACACCATAAAATAGCATGCAACAGGTACTTCAGCAGTGTTTAGCTAATATGCAGTTTGAATGTTGCGCATCATCCGCGCAGAGCCACTGTGTAGATACTCTTTTGTTGCTACTTCAACCATACTTGTTGCCCATCAAACCTCTGTTTCTCTGTGTCTTGCTCGTTTGGTGTTGGGTCATGCACGCTGCATCTTTCCAGTTATGTCGTTCTTTGAGATCCAATATTGGAAGATTTTCTTTTAGCGCTGAGTATATACATCGTCTTCAGTCTGTGTTTTACGATGACAGATTAATTCAATACAATAATTAAAGCCCATCTAAATTGTGCTGTGTCGAGCGCTCTACGTATATGTAAGTAACATTTTAACAGGACGGAAAACTGCAATTAAGCATTCATTCAAGAGGCGTCGAACATGCGATGTTCACATACAGAATAACCAACGTTCCAGGAATACATATTTCAGATTTACATGAAATTGATTAAGAGATTATGTAACGGGTTTGCTGACCCATTACCTCTGCTGAATGTTTCATGATCTGGTGAACAACTCGAGTATTCACATACTCTTCAAGTTATGGCGAGGGCATTGCATGATTTCGCCGCTTGTGAATACTGGGTGCGTATTTGCATTTTTTGCTATGTCCTTCTCCATGAAACAAGCGGCTGCTATCTACGAACGCATTAGCACTCAACTGCTACGCTACCTGTACTTCTTGTGCTGCCGCACCGATTACTTTTCTAACTAACAAGTCTTCACGAATTTTGAATTTTCGCGGGCAATGTGTGCATATTGCTGATTTTGTGGCTTGAGCAGCATGTAGGGATGAGGCAGAAGAAGATGAAACGTCACACAACTGGATGCATGCTCTAAGGGAAGCAGCAAGACACTAGTAATTTCAAAGGCTGCTTGACGGTGAGTTGGTGAGACTTGGGGAACCGATAGTGTCTAGATGAGACATGGGTGAGGCGCAAAGAAGGGCAACACGTATGTAATGGCTGAGGCCAGCGCGCACATGAAGTTTTGCGGACAAAGAAATAAGTCAATAAATGTATATGTATGTATATATATATGTACATATACATAAATGTATATCTCGGTGGAATAAACACACCAAATAGGTGGGGGGGGGGTGTAGCTATTTTTTATATACATACATACAGACATACATACATACATACATACATGTTTGTACATACACACATTGCACATCTGTAAAAGTAATGCAATGCAATGTAATGCAATGTAATAATGCAATGTCATGCAATGTAATGCAATCTAATGCGATGTAATGCAATGTAATGCAATGTAACGCAATGTAATGCAATGTAATGCAATGTAATGCAATGTAATGCAACGTAGTGCAATGTAATGGAATGTAACTGAATGTAATGGAATGTAATGGAATGTAATGGAATGTAATGGAATGTAATGGAATGTAATGGAATGTAGGAATGTAATGGAAGGGAAAGGGGTGTAACGGAATGCAGCGGCATGCAATGAATGAGCGACATGAATGACATGAACGAAATGAAATGCATTAATGCGTGAGATGACTGTCAATAACGAAATGAATGAATGAATGACTGAGTGAGTCAGAGCCTGCATGCATGCATGTGAGTTTGTACATATACATACTATGTGTGTGTGTGTGCATATATATATATATATACATATACATATATACATATATACATATATACATATATACATATATACATATATACATATATATATATATATATATGGGTGACGATTGATGTAAGGTTGTCAAAGTGAGGCAGGTTTGAAGGCTGCAGCTCTTTCATCCTCCAGCGAGCCGCATGCACTTGCAGATTCGCAGCATGCAGTCAGGGCTCCACGGTCTGTTCAAGCTCGGGTTGACTTTCCAAGCGCTCGAAAGGTGGGATGAAGCAGATGCGGGAATCCCCCAAAAGAGTCGTGATTCGAAGGGACTTACTCAACCCCGTATATCTTTATCCCAGCTTGGGAGGCTCCCAATACTCACGGAGTCTCACGTCAGACACATTATCAGGCCAGAGCCGGAAATTCACGGTGGCCGTGCACATGTTCGTCTCCTGGGTAGGGAATCTCGTTCCTTCAGCTCCAGCGAATTCCTCCTTGCCATGATTTGAGATCCCACTGATGTCTCAACGCTTGTTCTTGTGCATTTGAAGGGCTGAGCTGTATCGGTGCTGCCATTCGTCGGTCCGTCTCAAGAGGAATTGAAGTTTTTTCAGCCGTAGCCGTAGCCATGGCACAGCTGGAGGAGCATGGGCCTTCCATCTGTGGGGTGAGTACTGTCAGTATCGGGCTCACGACCTCGACCTCCGACCGTGAAATGCCAGCTGTGGGCTCCTTGGCGCGTTTGGCCAAGGAGCCGGAGCCCAACGAATGGATGGCCAGGATCCAGGAATCTAGGTATGCCATCCGGACACGTTGTTGTTTTACTTTCTTGGGTTTAAGAGGAGCTTCGTCACGCCGTAACTTGTTTTTAGCAGGTTGTGACGGCCAACCTAGGAATCACTCCAAAACATAGAGCTGTCCGTCTCTGCCCAAGCGGCATCCATGGAGCAACTTGTTATTGCCATAGGGCAGCTGACCCCGAAGAGCAGTCCATCAAACGAACGGACGCCTGAACGATTTCCGGGATCCGAACGGCCTGCTGAGAACGTGGCATCGATTCCGGTGCCCGGAGAAATGCCACCGGCGCTGCCCCCTATGGTGCTAGGACGCGTAGCCGAACAGTCAGAGGAGAGCGAGTTCCCACGGTCGGACGCCAGCTTTCGAAAGAGTAATGCTTCTCGCCGCCGGAGCCGCCATAGCAGTGGAGATGGTCGTGCTTCGCAAGCTCTTGACAGATTTCTTGCAAGTCGCGATCCTCAGTCCGGCCAGTACGGCATGATGAACGAGCTGGAAGAGCATCATGCCTTCCGGCTCATTCAGGCGCGTCGAACCGGCAGAGCCCACTCCCAGACGAAGAAGCCTCGCGCACGATCAAAGGAGACTCCAGCTCGACCTGACTCGCCATCTCCGAAGAGGAGGGCACCAACCATCACCAGCAGAGCCGGTGCAGAGGACAAGGAGGTGATGCTAAGCAGAGTGCGACGGGTGTCCCTGGAGGATCTTCGAAACAACTACGATGCAGTTCTGGTTAGCCGAGCAAAGCTTCCTACATCAACCTGGGAGACGGAAAATGCTACAGCACTGACCCGTGTTGCTTGGTGCCTTCTGTGCGTGACGGGCCTTCTGACGTTCCGGGATGGGCGCTTCTTTCGGCTGCTATCCTGGATGAGCTTTGCGGTCATACCTGGGTGTGCCACATTGGCTCTCGCAAGTTTCAGCCTCACCGTTGGTGCCGATGTCTCGGTGGTGGTCAGCTTGTGTTGCTTCGCCTGCGGGGTTCTCGTGGCCACCGTGAGCCTCAAGCATGCCGGGATTTCTTTGCTCCTGGGTCCCTCTGAGGCTGCCCTGGATGAGTACCTGGGTTTGGTTTGAATCTCGATTGTGGCCAAGGGTCCAAAACCAAACACCTGACAGCCCGCAGTTCGCCCTAAAGCCTTAAACCCCCACTATCTATGGACCCGATAAAGCATACAGAAGTTCTTTACTATTCTTATACCTGGAAGCCTTGGAGCTAGGTACGCCGCGGAGGCTGGCTTCCTGCGAGACTGGTGGAAGGTCTCCAGGTGGGCGACAAACTTCACAACCTTTACAGTGTGTATAGGGATTGATATGGGTGGTTGTTAAAATTAGGGTCCCTTATTGGGAACCCTAAGTATTGGGTGCCGTATTAAAATAAGGACCCAAAAAGGACCACAATTTTGACAGCCACCCATATGGCTTATTTGCTTTTTTGGGATTTTAGAGTTTCGGGTTCAGGGAAGGCTTCGATCACCAAAGCCTGGAAACCCCAATCCGTCAACCATTAGATCCACCAGGAACCATCCGAATTCCTCATGGACCCCAACAACACTCGTCCCCTCTGCTCCGTTCCGTCCAAGTTACACCCTCCGCCTCTCGCACCCTGAATCGTAAACCCGAGCCTAAACCCAAAACTTTAAAGCCTGAACCTGCCCTCAGAAAAACAAGCCTGAACCTGAAAGAAACCTCACACCCTAAATCCGTAACCCTACATAAGTCCTAAGCCCGAAACCCAGAGCCCAAATCCTCAATCCGAACCCCGAAGTCCTAAACCCTAAACCCGAAATCCAAAGCCCTACACTCTAAAACCTTAATCCTACGCCTAAGCCCTAAGCCGCAAGCCCTGAACCCTAAAGCCTAAATCCTAAACAGGTGGCGGGCTGTTGAAGTTGCGGTTTTCTCGGCGGTCACCCTGTTGGTCAAGGTGCCAGGGGTGAGCCTTTCAAGGGCCTAAATTGGTTTAGGTTCAGGGTTTGCACGCTTCGGCGCTCGCGCAAAGGAACTCTTCAGGTCTCGGTCTATGGTAACCCCGAGGATTCAGGCGGTTCAGGTTTAGGGTTTGGGGTTTCTGACGGCCGCTTGACTGCAGAAGCACATGGCCATACGTTGAAGAGCCTGGAAAGAAGCGCAAGACCAGAGATCGAGCAATGAGTCTGCCAAACCCCCGACCTCGAAAAGACTGCTTAAGTGAGCAAACCCAGACCCAAACATAACCTTAAAGCCCTGACCCAACATAAGCTTAAACCCTACTCCCAACATAAGCATAAACCGTAAACCCCAACATAAGCTCAAAGCCTAAACCCCAACAAAGCCAAGCCTTAAGACATTTGTTTTCAGGATCATAAAACAAAGGATCCCAAGTGCATAGCCTCTTGTCCGCCGACCCTGGTTGAACCGCGAACCGTTCGCAGCGAGAGGACAAGCAAGACATGAAATGCGGTATCAAACTCCCAAGTGCTGAGGAGGAGTTCGTGAAAGCTTCCTATTAAGAAAGATATATCGCAAGAAAGGAGGTCGTATCATCAATACTATACAGTTTAGGCATTAGGGCTTTCGGAGTCTGTTTAAGCGTCGAAGCAATGGCCCGAAATTTTAAGCCCCGAACAGAGCAGTCGCCCTTGTAGTACGACCATGACAGCAAGGGTGATGAGGACAACGCTGTGATAGTTACACGTATAGCTGTTGACAGCCGCGGTGATGATGATGATGCTGATGGCCGTCGACGCTTATGATGAGCATGCTGCTGCTGATGATGGCGATTATGATGATGCTGCTGCTGATGACGAGGATGGTGCCGTTGATGCTTTTGGGGGTTGTTGCTGGTGGGGTGTGGCTGCTTTTTTGCCATAGCATTTGGAGTCATGCACCCTGGAAAGCGTACATGCTCCCTACTCGCTACATATCCGAACCAAACGACTTTCGGTGTTTCGGGTGTAGGTTTCTGGTCTTCGTGGGTTGTGGTGTACCTGGCAACGCGGCGCTAGAAACCCACAATCAGCTTAAACCCTAAACCTACGCATCCCAAACCCTAACCCTACACGTTGAACCGTTAAACTCTGCGAGGCGTCGCTGAATCTTCTTCTGACCGGCAGTGTGCTGGGAGCCACGAGCACGGTCTTGGAGATATGGACCGGGGTTGTCTTTTGGAGCCTCGGGTCAAAAACAAGTTTCAGGGTTTAGAGGTCTAGGCTTAAGGTTTAGGTGTTGACGGTTTTGGTGTTTAAGGCTTCGCCTTTTCTAGTGAACAGCAGGCAGGCAACTAATTACTGGCATCGCAATCCTTGCATTCGGTGCTCTTTTCCACACCCCAAGCTGCTTTGAAGAAAGGCATGCTGGGGATACTATAGGGGCTCAAATAATTTCCAATACTATTTTGGGGGGCTCCTTGCTATCCCCAAAGCCCTATTCTCATTATTAAGGCCCTCACATTCTGGACATGGAAGTAGGCAGCTTTGACCGTCAAGTTGTTCGTGCTGTTACACCGCTTGGCTTGGCGTCCGCAGAGATCCCAACAGCTGTGGACCAAGGATACTCGCAGTCTATTTCGTGGCGCTTGCCTACCTGCACCTGCACATATGCTCCTCTTTGGAATCAGCCGGGGGCACGTCTAAGTATTGGGGGGCAGGCTTTGAGTGGAATTTTAGTCTTTGGACAGTTTCTTAAAGGCCCGTTATTGCGGTATCAGCGCGAGGAGGAGGAGAAGAGAAGAGGAGGAGGAGGAGGAGGTAGCAGAAGCAGCGGCAGCAACAGCAGGAGCAATGGGGCCAGTAGGGGTACGAGTAGGACTGCGAGCAGCCGAAGATGCCGAAGCAGCAAATGTGTAGTAGCGGACGCATAGCCGAGCCTCAGCGCCCGTGGAAGGAGACGGCAATCTCCACTCGAGCTTCAAACCAGAATCCCTAACTAATTCTTTAACCCCCGGATGCCCAGCCCGAAACCCTGTGAGCCCTAAAAGCCTGAAGGCCTTCACCCTAAAGCCGGAAAACCCTAAACCCCTCAAGCCTAAGCCCTTGCCTGATATCCAGGGCCCCCCGGTCCCAGAGCTAGTCTGACCGGCAGCCGGAGGAACATGGGCGATCAACACAGCATCTTCTACAATTCTATAACATCCTTACAGTTCAAATCCTGCAGCACCCTGCCATTCTCGCCTGAAGGAAGACGTAGAGAAACCCTTGTAGAGCCTTTTCCAGAGACCTTTAATATAGGGGCCCAAATAATTACCTACACTATTTTGGGGTTCCTGATTATATAGTGAACCCCAGAAAGTTGGAACATGGATTTAGGATGATTCATGCTGGGATTCCCTATACTTTGCTTTAAGGGCATGAGGCTACTGATGTTCCAACTTTCTGGCTTCTACTGTATAATTAAAGTATAATGGCCCCCCAAACCCTATTCTAACTATTAAGGCCCCCTTTTTTACAGACATCCTTCTGCTTTTGCGCTCCGGAGCCAGGTTGCGGCCTGGAGCTGGCTGTGGACAGCTTCGGCCTTCGCTTCTTCAAGGATCTCGCTTCAGGGTTTGCGGCTTAGGGTTTAGGGTTGAGGGTTTAGGGTTTAGGGTGGTTTAGGGTTTGGGGGCTTTGGTGATTTGGGATTTCAGGCTGTTGCGTTTAGGTGTTTTTGGGACTGAAAATTTCAAGGTTTCGATGGCGTTTGTGCGTTTCGTTTGTGTCCTACAGGGTTCGTGAGGTTTATGCTGTCGGGTCTTTTGTTTCGGTTCAAGGTTATCCCCCCTTGAGTCCCAACAGCTGCACACACAGAATCCTCGCACCCTAGACCCCAGACCCTGAACCCCGAACCCCTGAAGCCTAAGCCCTAAACAGCAACTCAACTGTAGATACTGTAGATTGTTTACATGACCAGTGCCCCTGGAAGTATTAGTCTTACCCGAGCCATTGCACGCAGGAGATGAACATGGAGCAGGCCATACAAGAGTGGAACCAGGCGCAGGGGACCTGTGACCGTGCCATCAGCTGCGACGCCGACGACAACCGACGACAACAGCAATACCAAACACCAGCATGATCAGCAAAAAAGAGCAAGAGCCGTTTACAAACAGCAGCCAACAACATACAGGGGACAACAACCGCAGCAACATAGACACCCCAAGCTGCAGCAACAGCCACCGTGCAACAGCAACAACGATGACGCCAACGACGAGGGTGACCACCGTAATGACAGGCATCAGCTAACGCAGAAGCAGAGTCGTCAATCAGGATCGTCACGGCCGTCAACATCAGCACCAACACCAATATGTGTAGGATTGCGCCGCCACCACCACCACCCCCGCCACCACCACCACCGCCGCCACCGCCGCCACCGCCGCCACCGCCGCCACCGCCGCCACCATCACCACCACGACCACGACGACCACCACCAGCACCACCAGCACCACCAGCACCACCAGCACCACCAGCACCACCAGCACCACCAGCACCACCAGCACCACCAGCACCACCAGCACCACCCGCACCACCAGCACCACCAGCACCACCAGCACCACCAGCACCACCAGCACCACCAGCACCACCAGCACCACCAGCACCACCAGCACCACCAGCACTACCAGCACCACCAGCACCACCAGCACCACCAGCACCACCAGCACCACCAGCACCACCAGCACCACCAGCACCACCAGCACCACCAGCACCGCCAGCACCGACAGCACCGCCAGCACCGCCAGCACTGCCAGCACCACCAGCACCACTAGCACCACTAGCACCACCTGCAGCAGCAGCAGCACCACAACCACCACAACCAACCACGACGAAGACGGCCACCACAACAATCTCGACACCACCACCACCATCACCACCACCAACAACAACAGCAACAACAACAGCAGCAACAGCAACAACAGCAGCAACAGCAACAGCAGCAGCAACAACAACAGCAACAACGGCAGCAACGGGAGCGGCAGCAGCCGCAGCGGCCACAGCGGCAGCAGCGGCGGTAGCGGCAGCGGCGGTGGCGGCAGCGGCAGCGGCAGGAGCGGCAGCGGCAGCAGCGGCAACAGGAACAGCACTAATATCAACGACAGAAGTCACAACATCAACACTTACATCGCCAACAACATTTTGCAACTGCCATGGCAGCAGCATTAGCAGCAATAACCTGTTCTTTTATCCATGTCCTCACAGTCATTTACGACCGCATCGCTTGCCGTTCAAAGACCTTGTGTTGATTCGGGTTGCCACAAGCCAAGAAATTGTAAGGGAAACCATGGCGTCTCTTCGGCGGGCGTTTTTAGATGTCGACCATACTCACACCGCCTGCCATGCAGTGCAAACCATATGGTCTGCGATGTCGAAGCTGGCCGACAGGTGCAGGCGACCCTTCGCCAGGCAGAGGGTTGGGTGGAGCGGATGCAGACGTCTCGGTTTGGGTTTGGGTATCGCTGTGATTCCTGTGGTAATGGTAACTATCCAAATTATTTGCACGGCTTATGAGGTTATCCCCTAAAGTGTGCCTACTGCATTTATAGAAGACTGCTCCGACAAACCAAGCCCCAAAGCCCGAATCCCTAGTCCGAGTCCTAAACCGCAGCACTGTAACAGAACCCCCACGAAACCTTGTAAAACTTTTGAATCTGTAATCGAACCTGAACCTTACGCATCAATGAAGGAACCCTTGAAAGCAGCACTTATGAGCATTTTCCAAGCCATTTTTGGGACGGTTTAGCGTCCGCTTCGAACCCTAGATGCAAAGAGTGTGCCGACATAACTTGAAAACAAAATCGAGCCTGCAGGTCTCCCGGAAACTGAGCGGTTCGCTACTTTTGCTGGGCTCCTCCTGCTTGGCTTGCCTGGCCATCCTGGCAGATGCTGAGCTGCTCTTACTCGGTCAATAGGAATAATACAATCCAGGTTTGAGATTTTGCATCTGACCAATGCTTATGCATGTATGCATGCATGTTTGTTTGTTAGTTGGTTTGTTTGTTTGCATGCATGCATGCATGCATGCCTGCTTATGCTGCTTATGGTTGCTTGCTTGGTTGGTTGGTTGTTTGTTCGTTTGCTTGTGTCTATGTGCGTGTGTGAGTGTGAGTGTGTTTGTTTGCTTGCTTGCTTGCTTGATTTGTTCCTAGGCATGTACGGACGGACGGACAGATGGATGGATGGATATGGATATAGATGTATGGTTGTACGGAATTGAATAGATGTATGTATGGTTGGATGCATGGATGTATGCCTGTATGTGTAGTTATTTCAATTACTTATGCGGATGCAGTCTGTCATGTAATTTCATGATGCCGTGGATTGAAATGTAATGTGGTTCCATGTAATTTGTCATGTCGCGCAGCTTAGTGTAATGCAATGCAATGTATTGTAGTGCAACGTTTTGTATGTTTGTATGTAAACAGCTAGACTTCCGTACATCGTAGTAAGTATTTGAACAGATGCATGAGCACAAAACTACGTAAATCAATGAATCTTTTGACGGGGAGAGATTATCTGTGTTGGACCAGGTTTGTGAAGGACCATGCAGAAGTTTGTGTCTTGAGGGGCCGAGAACGGTTTGCGGGTTCCCCGGGTTTAAAAATTGACGGGTTAAGGACTTGGTGAGTAAAGTTCAGAAGTTTAATGTGTGACATGGGTTTTTGGATCTAGGCTTGAAGGCTCAGGGGCGTTCTTTTTGGGTATCTATTTAGCAAAGTTGGAGTTGCATTCAGGGTTTGCGGTTTGCAAGCGTAGGAGCAAAGGCATTCGTACAGTTGGCGAGGTGCAGGAGCCAAGCTTGGTGATTGGCGAGGGTTTAGGCTTTCAGCTTCAGCGGTTCAGTTCAGCACTGCCGGCAAGCTACGTGTAACTCGACTCATAGAAATCCAAGGAGAAGGTCATCCAGCAGCCGGGCATGTTGACTGATCCGGCGCTGTTGCTGCCCTGGGTCGGATGGTTCTATCCCCTCATCCTGCTGTCTCTCTGGCTTCATTATGATTCCCGGTTCGGGCCACTTCAGGCTTGCCTCGGACATCTGATCCGAAGTACCACCTGAGGTTGCAGGCTCTTTGATAGCGTGGTATTGCAAGTATGCTGCGAGGAAAGATGTCAAAAACTCTGAAGCTAGTGGACATAAACCGAGGCAAGCCCACACCCATTCCAGGGGCCTTAAACAGAATAGGGTTTTGGGGAGGGTTTTGGGGGTTCCTTAGTTCCGTTTTCTAATTATGGTAGAACATACCCCGCCAAACCCCATTCCAATTATTTTGGGCGACGTCCTCCGACAAAGGCTCTGTGTTCGATAGGCCGTGAAGTGATCTGGCAGGTTCCTCTACACGATGTTCCGCGCTGCCGCAGTTACCGAGAAGGCAAGCCGCGTTGCCCCTCTGATCAATGCATGGACTTTTCAAGCAGCTTGGATGCAGCAGTTGTCATTACCTCAATATGGGTTTTGGGGCAGTTCCTTTTTCGTGTGATGATGCACCCGTTCTGCACAGCCTTGAATCGTAAATAGTTCTGGTAATCTGGTAGAGCTCCAGCAGGTTGACGCAAGCGTCAGCTCAGAGATTTTTGCCTAAGCAGATCTTGCAGTTCGGGCAGAGGCTTCCTGCTTTGGACTTCGTCGGTTTCGATTCAGCATGGAGTGGAATCGGTTCAGGGCTTTTGGAGACGACTTTCGCAAGCTTCACGAGCGAAGCCGCCTGCGTTGCAGGACCCGGATCAAGACGAAGAGCAGGACACTTGCTGGATGGACCAGGATCGGCAGTACGTCGTCCAGTACATCAACCAGAAACTTGCTGCAGTTGGGAGCTTTTGTGCAGGGTTGCAAGGTCTCGTAAAAGGTTGTCAAGATAGTGATACTGGTGATGTTGAGCATCGATATGAAGTATAAAAATCAATGTGCCAAACTCTAAACTTCAGTTCGCGGCCTCCAAAACGTCAGAACAAGGGGGGGCCAACAGCATACCACCCTGAATGCCCCCCCCCCAGCATCCAAAGTCTTCCCGCCCCCGTCAATCCTAAACCTCACACTTCCTCTGGAACCCCAAACCACCCCAAACCTTAAATCCCTAAACTTTAAACCCGGAAACCCCTAAACCCTAAACCCTAAAACACTAAACCCGGAAGCTCCGAACAATGGGATTTCTTGAGGAGCGAGGCCGGATTTTACATCCGCGGGGCGCGGCTCACAGTCTTCAACGTGCAGAAGATGGCGTTCCTGGCCGGGGATTTGGGGTTTGGGGTTTGGGGGATTTGGGTTTGGGGCGGATTTGGGGTTGATGGGATTCGCAGTTCAGGGTATAGGGGATTTGGGGTTTGGGGTTGAGGGGATTCGCAGTTCAGGGTATAGGGGATTTGGGGTTTGGGGTTGAGGGGATTCGCAGTTCAGGGTATGGTATATAGGGGCCGCAGCCACCCCTGATCCACAAACTCCTCTCCTCTAATGGCTCGACCCGAAGCTGCCGGGACTGAGGTACTATTTCGCGGCCTTGTCCTTCGCTCTTTTTTCACAGATTTCGGCACTGCCCTAGGGGGTCGTGGGCCGATTGCTTTGAATGTGAGTTGGTCAGTCGTAGATCCCGGATTTCCTAAGTCCCAAACCGCAAGCCCCAAACCCCAAACCCTAGGCCCCAAATCCTAAATAGCGGCCCCTAGCCCGAGGCTCAGGAGTGGCATGTAATCCTACAAGCCCCGAACTCTCCGTCCGAACCCTACGAACCCAAAGAGGGGTTAGAGGATTTAGGGTTCTCGGGGTCTAGTCTGGGGTTCAGGTGGTAGGATGTAGGCTTTGGGGCTTCGTTTCGTATCCCCGACTAAACCCCTAGCCCCCTAAAACCCTTGGCCTTTAAAACAGCTAAAGCCCAGACCCGAAATTCCGGGCCTTCCCAGCTGCCGGGTCTAAAGACCGTGGCGCTAAAGCATATAATTCAGCTTGACAATCCAAGGGACGAGATGGATCATCGATGTCTTTTTTGGCGTTTACCGAAGTTTACTGTTTATCAGTCGCAAGCGTATTTTGTACTAGACCTGGATTCAGCATCAGGTTAGGATTCGCATCATTCGAACATATTGGTGATAGCATTCGCATGAGCACGAGCCGCAACGAGAACTAAACAAATGTTGAAGCCGAAATGCTCGAGGAGACGAATCCACCCACATATCAAGATTCAAGCCGTACATTACTTTGAATCATTGAGGCCGGGCTCTTGCACTGCAGCGCTGTAGTCATCATAACGCTCTTCCCCGAGGACAAGCATACAGGGGTCTGCATAAATAGTGCTAATAGAACCAACCCCCTTGCTGTCCCTGTGGTTATAATCGTCGTGCAACCTGCTTCACAGCACTATTCTAGTGTGCAGACGTAGCAGAGCTCTAACGACTACTCTGCAGCCTTAATCGAGCCTTCTCAAGCCTTGCAAGGGCCGTATATCCTGAGCCCCTAAACCCTAAACCCTACACCCCTCACCCGAAAGTCTTTCAGGAGAACCGCCTCTGTCCCGGGAGTCTTGTCTAGTCCGTTCCATTCTGTGGGCCCTCTCAGCCGGAGCGATCGGTCCTCGGCCTTAGGACTTACGATTCATCGCGGGTTCCTTTAAAGGGCTACTATAAGGGTTCCTTTAAAGGGCTCTATAGGGCTTTAGAGTTTCCGAAAATTAGGGGTACCTAGGGGTTCCTTTAAAGGGGGGGTAGTGTGGGCTTCAGGGTTTTAGGGTCTGGGGGTTTTTTGGGATTTCAGGAAGCCTTGCACCCTGAACCCTGAAACTCACACCCACAGGCCCAAACTCAAAGCTCGAAGCCCTGGCTTTTCGTGTGATTTTGTCCACCACCCCCCCCCCCCCCCCCCCCAGCCCGCCAGCGAAGGACCAATCGGGAAATATAGTTTGGGGTTGTCGCAAGGGCTTGGGGTTTAGGGTGTAATAATTCTGAAAAACAAGCCCCAAGCCCTAAAACATCAACTCCTACAACCTCTGGCTGGCTTTTTCGGATTCCTTTTTCATTTTCATTTTCGTAAAATCCCGAGGGGTTAATCAAGCTCTGTTTTCTTGAAGATGCTTTGGGTCTAGGGAGGCTTACAGAAAGCGCTCCCACTGCAGACGTGGATTGGAGCCCGGTGGCATCAGTGCCATCCCCTCTGAAGGGTGTCTGTGCACACTCTAGGGGCCAATAGCCCCTAAGTCGGGGACCCTAAACCCTAAAGGGAACTCCAGAAAGTTGGAATATGGTTTTAGGGAGGATACCTTATAATTTACCATAGAATCCATAGAAGGGTTAGGATAATCATATTCCAACTTTCTGGCTTTTACCTTAAACCCAGGTGATGTTCGGCGGCTTGAAGACCCTACTGTAATCCGTTACGAACCCATAGACCCGACTCAAGAACAGCCATTCCATGGTGTCCCCTGACTTAATGCCTACGCGGATCCTAGCATATATATATATATATATATGCTACCCCCCCCCGCCAAGACCCGCAAGAACTAGTAAAAGATCCTGATAATTCACTCCAGCATTCCTACATGTGCTATCCACGTGTGTGCAGAATACGGTGTAGACAAGATAATCTAGTGAAGTATTGCTGTTATCTGCTTAATAACTAGAATTATAAATATTTCATATTTTGAGCCACCCTAAAATTAAACATTGTTTTCCGTGCTGGCCAATATTTCAGACTAAGAGCCACTATATTCAATTTTCCCTTTCCCCACTGCCATATTATCAGAACTGATTGCTTCGTTGGAAGTTCCGTAAAGCATATTTCCACAATTATTGTTTGTATGAGCCAACCAAACAGGAACAGATAACCAAACAAGCTCCGGAGGAAAACATCGAAAAGGAAAAGGAGTGTTTCTAATTGGCAGACAGACAGACAAATCTCAATTTCAATCGTAAGCCCTAAGCCCTAGAGACCTTAAACCCTGAACCCTCAGCCCTAAGCCCTAGTCCCGAAGCCCTGCGTGTAGGTTCCAGGTCCCCTTGAACGAACCTAGCTGTTGATTAATTGACTCATTCCACAATATGACATGATTTGGATGAGAAGCCTGCTGTCTTCTAGAACCATTGACTAGCCAATTTCCCTACATCGGTTTAATCCTTTCCCGTTGTAGGAAGTCACCCCTGAGAACTGAAATTAGTATTGGGCCCGGCGTGCAGAACATTAAGCGGGATTTGGGTTCGGCCTGTTTTGCAGCCCACGAACCCTGAAATTCTACATGTCTGTGGCCTGCGGCCTGCAAGTCACCGCAGCACTACATTCTCGAAACCAAGGCTGCTCGTAATCCTCTAGCTCCTCGCCTAGCATTACCTGCTCCCACATTATTACGAGTATTGGCGTCAGATATTACCATCGCTGCCAACGCTCAGAGCATTTCGTTTAGCTTGAGTGGTGGTATGAGTACTAGTAATCCGTAGTAGAAATCCCTGCTGGCCACTGATATCACCAGTCCCTCGTCCTGGCTCGTAGTATTCAATGTATCCGTGATAATACTCGCAAAATCGCTGGCGTGCTACATGGGTTAGTTCAAGTAGGGACCAAACAACTCGTTCAGTTTACTGTCATAACGTCCATTATAAACTAAATTAAGAAAGCACGGATATACCACTAACAAATATTGCCGGTAAATTTATTAGGTGACTGGTTAAATCAACGTTTTTGTGTATACATAATACTTTGACATACACTGTGTAAGCAGCTGGAATCAGCTAATTATCTACATTACCATGGTCTGGTCATGTTTCAATCACGGGACAGTGCATCCATTCACCAACCCATATGTTTTCAATTGCTTGCCTCTGGCATAGGGCTGTAAGAATGCAAAAGGTGAAAAACAATTACTCGGCTTGGCAGCAAGTAGACTAAATATGTGCTTAAACCGTTTGAAATGGCTAGCTCCTTATCTTGATATAAGCAGAAAATTTAACCGACATGCATTTAGATACGCCCGCATGCAGATTAGAGGCTTCATTTTGGCAATGATAGTGGGTTCCTATACATGAGTTGGACTGATGAATGGCCAAAAGACAACTAGTCTGGCACGTGACAAATGACAATGAAGATATAAGCAGAACACTATAGAATGGGATGTTTACTTAGTATTTCAAGTATGTAATCTGATTAACCACAGGCATGAAGAAGCCACAACAAGCTTTCACATAGGTTAACTTTTTGAATGATGCCGCTATTTGGATTTGTGTTGAAAAGAAGCAAACAGGGTCTTTACACACACCGGAACAACAAATTTTTCCTGCCTTGGCACTACCAGATTCCTTTATGCGCACATGTATCAGCCTCTGTGCTTAAGAAAGAAACGAAATCTGGATGTCATGATGTTTCACAGGTTGGCACAAAGTCGCAGGTTTTCAGATTCGCAAATTCGCAGATTCGCAGATTTGCAGATGACGGATACTTCAGCGGATTTGCGGATTCGCAGATTCGCAGATTCGTGGATTCGCGGATTCGCAGATTCACAGATTCGCAGATTCGCAGATTCGCGGATTCGCAGATTCGCAGATTTGACAGACCATAGGTTGTGGCGCATATACAATCTGCGAATCTGCGAATCCGCGAATCTGCGAATCTGCGAATCTGCGAATCCGCGAATCTGCGAATCTGCGAATCTGCGAATCTGCGAATCTGCGAATCTGTGAATCTGCGAATCCGCGAATCCACGAATCTGCGAATCTGCGAATCCGCAAATCCGCTGAAGTATCCGTCACAGCGAGGCCCTTTGAGCATCAGATACTTACACGTCGCGTCGCGAATCCCTCAAATTGAGAAGCCCTGAAAGACCCTGAACGTTATTGCAGCTGCATCCATATGCCCCGATGAAGTTGGGCAAGTCGAGAGTACCTGACAGCGAAGCGTGGGTTTTTGGGGGGGGGGTACCATATATATATATATATATATATATATATGGCCAGGATCCGACAGGAGGTTCGCAAGCAAAGCAAGAATCATCAGCTTCCTGCGTGCAAAAGCAGGACTGCCGATTTGAAATTTGCCTAGCTGCTCAGGAATAGCTGCTGATTCGTTGATCACAGCTAATTTCCAATGCGTCTTTGACGCCTCAAGCAACGGATCTTTGTCACACTCCCCCTCGTGTGCGAGACGGGTGGGTGCTTCGACGGAGCCAAGACTGAGCCGAACGTAAGATCTAGGTGCTGTTGCTGTTGGTTTGCAAGCAGCATCGGGCGGAAGGGATTTTCACCAGGTAGTTCGGGAACGTTCCGGTCGGGAGCACCCGCCAGCAATCGAAAGCACTGATTCCGCCACGCGTTGGCTTGATTTTTGAAACTGTGTTCCCGCGATGTGCCTGGAAGCAGCTCGAA